TAATTTTGTTGCTTAGCATTATAGAGTGTTATGGAATTGCTTTATAACTTCAATCAGACGGGTTGTTAGTCTATTTTGAAACCCTACTAACAATTGTAACAATTTATCAACAGTAGGCTGGTTAGCAGTTTTTATAACCTTCAGGTATTCGAAAGCTAAAACTCAAGAAGATCATACAGAGAGATTACTAGATTAGAAGCCGAAGCAGTTCTACTAGAAATAAGCTTCTTTGCAAAACTATTAAAATATTTATGAATAAATCTTCATATAGACAACCAGGGTGCTATAGGAGGTAGAACCATAGAGAAATCCTGCCTGGCAGTTCTTGGCAGTAAGAGTGAAATGATTAGTAATTTACTTCGTAAAGTATAGTCCTTAAGTAGAAGAGCAGCCTCAGAAAACTGAAACCATCGTTTGGACAAAACATGGAAGATTTTTTGTGCCTACTGTAAAATTATGGATTTGAAAGCTTTACCTACAGAGGTTGACACTCTTGTGTCCTTTCTTGTTTGGCTTGACTTGTCGCAGTATTTTTCAAGACATGCAGATTTTTTGGCAGCAGTTTCAAGAACACATTTAGAGGCACAACTTGCTGATCCTTCAAAGGAATATAGGGTTAAAAGAGTTTATAGAGCACTGTTGAAGGAATACAGGCAAGCTAGAGACCTTGAATAGCCCATGGACCTTTTGAAGCTACATCTTATTAGCAGGGTCTTTTGGATTTGAGATGCCGCACTAGTGGCTATTGGGTTAAGAACTATGCGTCGCCCCGGAGAATTATGTAGCCTTAGGCTTATAGATATTAGGTTTGGAGAGAAATTATGTTGGATCCGAATAAGTTCTTCCAAGAAAGATCAATTTGTAAATGGCAAGTTATTCCTATTGAGTTTTCTGGAAGTCATTACTGCCCAGTAAAATTATTAAAGAAGTATTTGTTAATAAGGCCAGTAACCTCTGATGATAAGCCTCTTTTTTTTATCAAAACAAGAGAAACAATTAACAGTGGGGCCGTTGGGGCCACTGTTAAGAGAATCGCCAGACATGCAAGTCTGCGTGGTAGGTTTACTGCCTACAGTATTAGGTTCGGTGGTGCTACTACAGCAATGGAAGCAGGCATGTCTCTAGCACAGATCCGTGCTATAGGTCGGTGGGACAGCAAGGCAGTTATGTTAAATTGAGGTCAGTCGGTACCTCTAAGCTGCAAAATTTCTAAAAGGATGGGTTTTTGCTAATCACCGATCACCTTCTTATTCCCATATGTTTCTTCAACGCTTAGTAGTAATAAAGTCTCTGATCGAGCAATAATAATGGAAGCCTGTCAACGAAGTGACGGCGTACATTATTGCGAGATCAGATGTCTTTATTTGGTCACATGTTTAAATTTTGTTTTATCCTTTTATGGTATTTTATTGTTTGTTACGTATATCTTGTTAAATGCGGGTTTTTTAGCGATTGTTATATTGAGTATTGTATGTATAGGTGGCTCAGCTAGGAATGATAGAAGGTTTATTTTCACATGTTAAGATTGATGCAATAAATCAGTTGTTTGATAATTAAGAGTATTTAAGCTGTACTGTGTATGTGTTAAGGGATTTATCTTTCATGTCGCTATCGCTCACCTTAGTATAGAGGCTGGCTCTGTCGTCCCTAACCTCCCCCAATGCTTTTCCATTTTTTAGGCTCCACTGCTGCA